ATAAAATGGCAGTTTTGCCTATCTGTCTTAAAATCTAATGATATACAGATTTCATTATATGTAATCTTTTGGTTGAATGTAGTTTTTATTTCCACTGTGGTTTTATCTTGCATTTAGTTTTTATTCAAGTGTATTCTTAGTTAACAGAGACTGAGAGTCCATTTGATTTTATTTTGTTAACCAGTTCCAGTGTTAAGTGTTCTGTTGAAAATAAAGTGTGTTTATCTTTGTCAGGAAATCGCATGCATTATTACGTCATTTCCATTAAATCAGTGTAAAAAGGTCTTCAAACAATATTATCGTTTATCGCAATAATTTTTGAGACAATCGTTCAGCAATATTTGTTATCATGACAGGGCTACTCAAGTGTTTCGATTCATGTTTTTTTTTTTTCTTCCTCCAGTCTATTTTTATCAATTTGCTCCTGGATGTAATTCTGACTCCCGTGCTGCGGTGGAGCTAAACCTATTTTGCCCTCCTACCTCGCTTCCTGCTTCTGTTATTTGCTTTTGTTTCTCAAATAAAAGGCATAACGATATTACAGCTTTCCTTGATTTATTTCAAACTTGAAACATTGTCTAGCCTGTAAGGTAAAAAAACGAATGAACCAATTAATCGAAATGTATCGTATCGTGCTGTGTTCTTGAGTATCGAAAATAATCAAATCGTTGGGTCAGGAAATTTATACTGAATCAAAATGCCATGATGGGAGTGATTTACAGCCCTACTCCGTCCTTAGTTTCTATAACGCTTATAGTATCAATTATTGTTTAATGTTAAAATGAAATTTAGAGGCAGAACAAAGTGAATATTTTAACATTTTTGTTTTGTTGTTTATTCAAAGTAAATAGTCTTACATGAAACTAGTGAAGCTCTTGTTTATATGTTTTCCAGGGTGCTATCTGTCGTTTCCAGCCAATAAACTTGTCTCAGGGGAACACTGCAAGATAGTGAAAGATGAACACTCAGGGCGGGTTTGGCTTGAAGACACCAGGTACTGTACCTGAAGTATTCATCTTGCTTCATTTGTTTATTATAAACATAATATACACATAAATACAACTCTGGAACTCATTTTATAGATATATATATATGTGTGTGTGTGTGTGTGTATGTATGTATATATATATATACCGGTGTGTGTGTGTGTGTATATGTATATATATATATATATATATACCGTAAATTCTCTAATATTGGCCTGTATTCCAATAGCGGCCGGGTCTCTAATAATGGCCGGTCTCGCTGTCAGAGGAGGTAAATAATGGCCGGTCTCTAATACAGGCCGGGGCTATAAACGTTTTTTCTGGGCATACCTCAACATTATACTTGTGGTAGTAAGTAACATACAAGTACCACAGCCCTGCGCAGCTGAACGACAAGCCCTGCTGCTGCCCGTCTGCGCGAGGAAGAGAACAGACACGCAGCAGAACAGGAGGAGCAGCGCGAGTGATGAGGAGAATAAAGGGAGAGATGAAGAGGAGGAGGAAACTGAGGAGGAGAATTAAACAGAATTGGAGGATTTTTATATATTTTTTTTACTTCAAACCAAGCGAGACATGGTAACTGTACTTTTTCAATAAATGAACCTAGTGTTTTATAGGTTCAAATAGACACAAAATCTCATTTTTATTCATTCCACTGGTAGTCTGTTTTGCTCAAATAGCAATAGAGGCCTGTCTCTAATACTGGCCTCTATCCAATAAAGGCCTGGACCGCGATGCACTTGAGTGAAATAAAGGCCCGGGCCTATATTAGAGAATTTACGGTATATATATATATATATATATATATATATATATATATATATATATATATATATATATATATATATATATATATAGTTTCTCAAAGCTTCATCTTAACACAGTGTTTTGTTTTGTTTTGTTTTGTTTTGTTTTTTTCAAATTTAAATTTCAGTAAAATGTTTTTATTGGTTTTATTTTTTGGCTTTTTTTAATAATGGAATAAAATTCACTCCATAATTATACCAGTAGAGCCCAATATTGGCAATTAACAGTCAACAGTTGAAATAACTCAGAACTTTTCCTAAACTCTGTCGCCCTTATTTGCTTAAGTAAAGTGAAAATAATAAATGTGATGTGTCCTTTTTATTTGAATCCACATTTTGCTTTCTAAATGAAAGAAAATATTTGTGTCTATATGTTGGAATCTTTGTGCAGCACTAACGGCACAGTGATCAACTCGTCCAAAGTGGTGAAGAAGCAGACTCACGTTCTGCAGAATGGTGATGTCATCTACTTTGTGTACAGGAAGAGTGAACCAGAACACAGTAAGAACTTCAGAGTAACCCGATGCTGATTTATTGATATAAAAATGTTGATGTGAAAGACGCTGATCAGGTTTTGTCCCTCTGTAGACATTGCCTACGTTTACCACTCTTTAACCATGGAGGAAGCTCTCCCAGAGGACAGTCACAGTGAGTATTTAGATAACCTAGAAACGGCTCATTAATCACATCATGTGCTGTTACTCTTTTATATGTTAATCTTCTAACCCACTCCAGACATAGAGAGACCAGCCTACAGTGTCTCCCCTGTTCTGACGTCAGAGATGTCCCTCTCTGTGGAACCTGTAATGCTCACAAAAGCTCCTCTGGATCCATCTCAGGAGGAACCTCAGCCTTCAACCTCAGCCTCCCACTACTGCATTGAGAACCCCTCATCTGTTGGCCCCCCTTCAGCTTTTGGTACGTTTTCTTTGGTTAGTTTAAACCGTGCATTGCTCTGCTAGATTCTACAGGGTTTCCGTGGGTCATTAAAAATCATTAAAAGTCATTGATTTATTATTTTTTAAATTAAGGCCTTAATTGGCATTAAAGTTCATCAAATGTGATTATTGTGGCATTTAAAATGCTTTATTTGAAAAAAAAAAAGTTTATAAAAATAATTTAATCAGATATAACTGGTTCGGCGTGTTTGAACGGAGCTGCTTCTGAAAAGCTTCAGAAAAAAAACTTGAGGCGGAGAAAAAGCTAGAAATTGAAAAATGCAATTTACAACAAAAGTGGCTTCGTTATGAGGAATTCTGGACATGTATGGAGCCTGTTGATGGTGTTAAAATTATTTCTAAGGGCATTAAAAAGCATTGAATTAGATTAGTTAATTTCTGCATAAACCCTGTTCTAGTCTTCCTGCACATCGCAGGTAAAGTGCTTTACAAAAATTTATCAATTTTCTATTTTTACATCTTGTTGAAAGTAAGTGTGATGATGATATATCTGGTGATAAATCCACATGTTTCTTGGTCATTTTACTCTTTTAACGCTAGAATCGTTGGGACGGCAGTCTGGGTGACGTGTTTTCTCCATCCAACCGGCTGCATAAACTACTGACAAAGTGCAGCATACTTAGACTACTGCTGCAAATAAATATTGTGTTCTTCGCAGGGATTTGTAATATTAATTATTAATTAATTATATTTCTAGGGCTGCAACTAAGTTGTTTTTTTGCAAATCGATTAATCTGTTGATTTTTTTATTTTTTATTTGACGAACAATCTGATAGCCAAAGGTTCCTTATAGAAGACTTTTTTTGTGAAATTAAACCAGGTGAAACAAAACATTTTTCAACTGAGTTCTAGATGGAGCATGTTGACAGACGAAAAGGTTTTTTTAATCTTAAATGCAAAATGTATATATAGTTTTTCTACAATCTTGGTATAATCACTGCTCAAAGTGGGCTGCTCTGTCAGCTAAAAGCATGTTTTAAAGGCTCTATACGCCGGTTAACGATTAATTGATTAATAAATTAGTTGATGATTATTTCAATAATCAATTAATCACAATTAATTTTTTCAACCCTAAATATTTTTATAAACTGATGCAAGTAAAATCTCAAATTTTCATTTCCCCCCTAAAGTATTTAGCTTGTTCTATCATCCTTTTAACTCATGACAAACATTCTTGTTCCAGCTGGAAAAACAAAATCCTCCCCACATCATAATGCTGCCACTTCAAATCAGTCACTGTTCTATCACATAATATCACAACATAAAACTTGAAATTTGTGCTTCTAATGAGTGTTTTTTTTGTCCCTCCACCTCATCGGGTGAAGACAAGGATGCAGCCTCTGCCGTACAAAAGCACACAGACTACCTGGAGCCAGAATGCAAAAGGAGAAGAACAGATGGTTTGTGTTTGAGCTCCAACTTATTTTATTTTAGCCTGTGTTAGTTCCGGATCGTCTTTTTCATTTTATCCTTATCTTTAAAGTCAATGTCAGACTCAGTGAATAATGACGAACAGAATTGTTCTATTTCCAGGTCCAGACTCAGATCTGGGTACAGGAAGCAGTACAGAGACTGCAGGAGCCGCTGAGGGAGGCCTTCTGTCCAAACCGCATGTGGAAGAGACGAAAACGGACAAAATGGAGGAGTCCCTGACATGCGTTATTTGCCAGGACCTACTGCATGACTGCATCAGGTGGGAAATTAGGAGTAGATCCAGGATTGATGCTTGAATGTTTTTTCTTGTTCTACATGTCTGTGCATACGTGTGAATGTTGCATTTCTCCTTTTGGGCCTCCAGCTTGCAGCCTTGTATGCATGCTTTCTGTGCCGCCTGCTACTCTGGTTGGATGGAACGCTCCTCGCTGTGTCCCACCTGCCGCTGCCCTGTGGAGAGGATTTGTAAAAACCACATCCTAAACAATCTGGTGGAGGCCTACCTCATCCAGCATCCAGGTTTGCTCACAAGCACACATGATGGAGACACGATCCCACAGAGATCGAAATGCTTCTAAGTCAGCTTTCACCGAGTCCTTTGGTTTAAACCGAAGCGTCCCTGTTTCTGTCCCACAGAGAAGTGTCGCAGTGAGGAGGACCTGAAAAGCATGGACAGCCGGAACAAGATAACTCAGGACATGTTGCAACCTAAAGTTGAACGTTCCTTCTCTGATGAGGAGGGCAGTTCAGATTACCTCTTTGAACTCTCTGACAATGACAGCGACTCTTCAGACATTAGGTAAATCAAGTCATCAAACCAAAAAGGTGCAACATAGGAATATAACAATATGATATATAAAGAAAGCTACTAATTTTTCAGCACCACAGATGCCTGGTTTTTGTAACCCTTGCTGGTCCCGGTGGTTATCAGCTCTGATGTTTTTCATTTTGTGCTTTTTGTCTGCAGTCAGCCTCTTGTGTTGTGCCGGCAGTGCCCGGGCCACATGAGGGATATGGGCCAAGTTCTGTTTGCTTCGGGTTCAAACTTTTGGTTCACTGGTCTGTCATCTCTGCCACCTGTACTGCCTCCACCTAAACCTGCATGTGAAGACGGGGCGGCAAAGCCAGCAGGGGAGCAGCCCTCCACGTCCTCTGATCCGCCCTCGGCTCATGGTGAGTTCAGACTTGACTTCGGGCTGCATGGAAACTGAAATCTGTCTAATCACTTATTTAAAGCAGAAATTCAATCATTATTACTGATGAAGCTAAAATATTGTGACTGATATTATTGAATTAGTTGCTAAATGTGTTTATCTCCTTTTCCAAATTGTCTTGCATACCATTTTGATTTAAAGTCACAGGGAAGTCATATTTAAATGATCAAAAATTATTCTGGCTTAAACATGTATATAAATGTACTCTTTATCAGACGATATTGTTCCAAAATTTTGAAAATTTATGTTTAAAAAAAAAAAATACTGTCTTAAAATCTTATTTTTTTTTTTCTTTATCTAATGCAGGCCAGTTAGTTATATGTCAGCTTGTGCATCTAAATTTGGCCAATCATATGCTCAGGTTATCTGTCAGTCAAATTATTTTCAGTCATAGCATCTTGATTCATATGTTGTAGCTAATATACGCAACAGTTGAAATAAGATTCATTTCCTTTCCCATTGAGTTCCGTCCCAGTGTTCACAGGGATGAACGTCTGTGTCTTCAGCAGGCGTAGAGCTAACAGAACTGGCAGCGTTGCGAGGCAAGGGCTCAAACATGTACGGCTGTAAGCCTTCTACACCAAACCAAGCTTCTGCTGTCCTGGCGTCCTCTTCCACAACATCTTCGTCCCCGCTTTCCTCCTCTAAATAAAAAATGTATGACTGAGGAGACTCCTCCACGACCTCCGACACTAAACTCTCCTCCTCTTGCATGTTTCCTCTGTCCATAGCGTTCCTTGACAGTGTCGTTTCTAAGTCACCAATTTAGTGCTACTTGGTCCCAATGGAATTTCCCATTGGGAACCTACTAGCACTGAGTTGCTAACTGGTTAGCAAGATGCTTTCAAGAAACCGGCCACAACCAAACTTGCTTGCGAACCTTCTGCCACAGCAATCCTGATATTGCTCCTGATAAACGCCCAATCACATTCACTTTATTCACTCGTATAAAGTCGTGCACCACTAGCGAGAATTCAGAAATGTAACGGTTGAATCAGCCACCTCCCTACGACTTTTAGTAAAGACCAAAATTTTTCTATTTATTAGCTGTGTATTAGGTGTCTGATTCCTATCCACTACCCTTTCCCCCGCAGCGCCGCAGGATTACTGCTGCCCCCCTCAGGGCTGCCACCTCATCTGCACCTGCTGCCTTCAGCCGATGCCGGACAGACGGGCCGAGCTAAACAACCAGCAGCAGGTCGTCACTCAACAATGTGAGCCGTCCTTTCACCTGTTCCCCCCCAATGATGTGTAGTTGTGCATTTTAACAACACAGGGGATGTTGAATTATTATTACACACTCATATCACTTTTTTATGGTATTACTAATGATAGTAGAAGCTCAGTATGCTTAAGAGGCCTCGTGTCTTGTCAGGTATGCTGTGCCAGCGGCCGTTCTGTCACATGTACTGGGGCTGCCAGAGGATCGGCTGTCATGGCTGCTTGGCTCCATTCAGTGGTTTGTATAATGTCCATATCTGGATAGCCTTTAAAGCTCTCATTTTTACTTCTGTTACATGAAACTAATCACAGAGATAAAGCAGCTTTAATAGATGCTTCTCCATCTGACTTACCTGTTGAGGCGTAGGCAGGCCCTCACCGCGAAGGTTTAGCTTTAGCGTTTGGACATTTTGTGTCCTTCCTGATGAGTTTAGCTATCCACACTGGGAATATATTGAATTGAACGAGCTTTTACTTCCTGTTTTCTTCATGAGGTTTCATGAGTCATTATTGCCCCTGTTGGCAAAAACGCACAACAGAATGTAAAGTATGGGCCAAAAACTCATGCTCAAAAATTTATTCAAATCTATAGGATAGGTTAATACTATGAGGATATAAAGTTAATGGATGTTTAACTATTAAACATCCACATATATGGCAAGTCTGACAGTAAAAACTCACCTAAAGCACCTAAAGCGTCGCTGCTGAGATAAATTTTTCTCAAGCTCCCACTGCAGTGCAGTTACCAGAAATAGGGTATTTTTTTCCACCCTTTTTTCAGTGAAAAACTGAAACAATACCTGGGAAACAGTAAAATCTTGTCTTAATTTGCACATGGTCTTATACATATATTGAAAGTTTAGAGCAGAGGTCACAGATTAGCGGACCACTGTCCGGGTCCGGACCCACCTGCTGGCTAACTCAACCTGATTTAAAATATTTATAAAGCACCGCATGTTTTACGACAGCACAGTCTAATTTCACTTGCGCCACTTCTCCTGGTAATATGGTAAAGCCTTCGGGATCATCCCAGACCAGGCTACACGTGATGCAAATTATCCAATGAGCTGCTGTCAGTCTGGGTTGCTTCTGCTGCTACTTTTAGACACAGCAGGCAAACCTGTGGCAAGCTGGGCGATGGGAAAGAAGGAGAAGACGATGAGAAAAAGAAAGCAGAGAAAGTGTGGACTGCTGGAAGAACTGCGGTGAACGAAAAGTGCAACAGTATGCTCAAAGATGACCCTGCACATTTTGAGTACGTTTGGCTCAACCTGCTGCTGTGAAGCAGGATTCTCAACAGAGTCAAAAATATATATGGATCCAGGCTCAAAATGAGCACCTTGATATGTACTTGAGAATAGCTTTGTCTCCATTCAAACCCAGGTTTAAAGCCTTGCAGGGCAGTATAAAGCCCACTGCTCTCATTAAGGCATAGAAAAGACAACAACAAAAAAAACTAAACAAATGGCCAGTTCAGGTGTTTTATAGAATATAATAATCAGAAAATTGTTTTGCCATATAGCTTTGCTAACAGATGTCTCAGAGCTAGCTGGTAGCCCAACAGATTTGCTTTCACAAGCCATTATGACCGTGAGGTTCTGCTTATGGCAACTTTATTGAAAATTGAAATTATTTTGGTAGTAAAATCTTTTACAGTGGAGGTGAGAAAGAAGGGATAAAAACTAAGGGTAGAGAGAAAAAGAGAAAATGAAACAAAAAAGCAAAATGGACAAAACAAAATATAATTAGTAACTTCTAGAAGTCTGATTCCACACCTGTATGAGATGAAAAGGACAGAGAACCAGAGCAGCAGGTGTCCCTTATGCTACGTTCACACAGCAAGCAGTAAGAGCAGCAAAAACTTGCGTGCTGCTTTATTTTTGATGCTGGTACAAGTTTAGTTCTGATGCGCGGCTGAAGCATCTTATGTATGCTGTGATCAGTGGGTAAGAAGTAGTTTTAATATGTTTTTAAGTGAGAAAATCCATATGAAAACTTAATCTCTGTAGCCAGTTCATTCAGATTACATCCTGCTTTCAAATATTATTTCGCTGTCAGAGCCCCTCAGACCCCCGTATACTGGCAGTGTGCCATCATTGGAAATCCCATTCAACAGCAGCCTCTGGCCCGGTTGCCTCTTTGGGGTTTGCCGCGGTGGCTGGAAGGCCTTTTTCATGTACGTGATCCAAACTGCAGGCACCAGGATAATAAAAGAGAACATGTTTTGCCAGCAGACTTGGGCATTTTAAGTTCATTTAGGCGTTAATAAACAGTTTCAGAGGAGTGATCATAGTGATCTGTATCATCAGTGATGTGTCTGTCTCCCTGCCAGCTCCCAGATCAGCTTCTATGATTGGTTGATGTGGCGCGTCGAGCATCAAAAGATCAATTTTTCCAACTCCAGCAGCTTCTGCGTTTGCAGCGCGTCAGATGCTCAGAAGCTCACGCCGCGCTGCTTCAGCTGCTCAAAACGCACTACGGAACATTTTGCTGCGCCTTGATGCGCGTCAACCATTGACTTTGCATGTAAGCTAGCTGCTCGTGTTGCCTCTGCTGCTTTAGGTCTGATGTGTGTGGAAGACAAAACCTATGGTCATTACGCAATATTATCCAGGGTGTAGCTGCAGCTTAGTATTTAGTATTAGCGTGTATCCCTGAACACCCTGCAACCAAACTCCTTTTGTATGTATGCCTGAGCATGCTCGTGTATAAATGATTTACAAAAGCTTCTTAGAAGGAAAATACGCTTAATAGCAGGCGTGGGCGGCCCCAGACTCACCCTTAAGGGGGCCCAATCTGATAGAGGCGATGTGAGACCCAGATATCCAAAAGCACATATGTATTTCCTGGAAATGTTAAATATGATGCTGACTGGGCTGTTATTTAATTTTGGACATTGGCCACCATTAGCATGGGAGGACCCACCCTGGAGGTGATCTCAAAATTTAAATTTCTAGAAATAATTATATTGACCCTTAATTTGAGCAGGTAAGAAAATCCACTAAGGGAAATATGATTTTACTCTGAAAACAAGATATTTAGATGTTATGCATTCAAGACAAAGGACTTTTCTTCCTGCTATCAGCATAAATCATATTTTTCAATTGGTAATTTCTTTACAGCAACTAATGCCTCAATCGTAGATTCACTATATTATCATTATTATATTATATAGTCATTATATAATGCCAGCATTTATTGAAGAATTAAATCCACTGTTGCCTTTTTCATTGTCTTTGGTCCAGCAGCTGATCCACACATTAAATGAATTAGAAATATTTTCTTTGCTGCCACCAAATTAGTGCAAAGATGTTACAGTCTCACATCATTGCTGCCCAGGTTTTCATCATTTATCTCAGGATATTTTCACATTCCCTGTTGTGTCTTGATCAATGAAACATTTGTTATATTTTTCCAGAGCTTAATCTGACTGACAAATGTCTGGACGGTGTGCTGAACAGCAATAACTATGAATCGGAGGTTCTACGGGTAGGTAACTCCTCAATGTTTCTGTTCATGACCTGTGAATTGGCTGAAGTTCAGAACTTATTTAATTAGTGTGGGGAAAAAAACAATTTTCAAATGCTAATCTGTATGAGAAACAATAGCAGAATAGAAGCTCATATCTGCACATTATTTTATTTTTTTATTTGTTTTCCCATTTCCATTAGAACTACCTTTCTGCTAAAGGGAAGACATGGAAAGATCTCCTCCAGGAGTCTTTGCAAAGCTTACAGGAGGGAAAGTATCTGCTGACAGGTGAGATCCCAGAGGAAATACTTTAACCACTTTCACACCAAACCTTTTAAATATCCACAATGCTTTGTGGTCGTCCCATCTGAGCATCTAACTGCAATGTTTTCTGATAGACCAGCACAAGGTATTGAACATTTGTGAAATGGAGGGAAAAATATAAAATTTTAAAAAGTATTCCATGTCCCCTTCAATCCTAAACTGAAATCAGTCAGAAGTCACATAATTTGTAAAAAGAGTTCTCATGTGTTTATTTTAATCCCAGTATACATCCAGATCTTCTGTTGGTTAGAGATCAAGCAGTGTAAAAACCTCAGTCCTGTTATGGAGTAGTTTGAAGGAGACAACTTGTCAAGAGTTTCAGAGTGATGCTGAAATCCGTTCTCTTGCTTTTTACTTAATGTAACATTTAGTAAAAATTGTCAGATAAGATTACAATGGGAAGGTTTTGGTCTGCTTGCCTAAAGCCGGGCATACACTGTACGATTTAGTTTTTTTTGCCCTTTTTGGGCAGTCGTGCGAGAATTTTTCAGGCCAAGTTTCAGTCTCGTTGTGCGTCATGTAGTGCACGGGGGTAACGAGGGGCAATCAGCCTCTCATGACCACTTCTCGATCAGGAATCTTGAGGTCAGGAGAAAATCAAACATGATTGAAATATAGTCGGCCGTCGTAAGGAGTTTTTGGGCAAATCCTGCTGTTGAAGCAGAGCTACAAGCGTCTACAAATAGATTTACCAGAACCTCTTGCAGTGCGCATGCGCAAACAAGGGAGTTCTTCTTCCAGATTGATGAGTCCGACCAGCACCATTTCTCAGCGCCGAGTCCGACGTGGTTTTTGGACGAAGGGTGGGAACAGGTAGATCACATCAGAGTAGTGTGAGAACATACATTGTGAGCTGTGAACCTTTAAATCCTGCAATTTCGTAGGATGCACGATATAATCGGCCCCCTATCGGTATCGGCCTTAAAACTGAATATCGGACATCGGCCACCCCACCGATATTTAACCCGATATTTGATCAGCTTCTGAGTTTCTAAAGTCTATAAAAAAATAAAAATACTTCTTCTTCTTCCTCAAAAACTTCTTTTTTACAGACTTAAAAACTTCTAAAGACGAGGGAAAAAATATTGATACATTAAAATATCACAATATCTTCATATGCTGATATATTGCCATTTAAAAACACCATATCAATCTCTTTTACTAATGAAATATTGCTATATGTCATCGTTATGCTACGAAATCCCCTGAAAATTCACAAAATATTGCCATATTTTTATATGTTGATATATTGACGCGGTATCGATCTATTTTACGAACAAAATCTCACAAGAATTTGAAAAATATCACGAGAGTTTGTAACAGAACGATGAAATTTCACGAGATTTTGAAAGTAAAATGGTTCAATACCGCGTTTTTAAAAATCAATTTGATATCAGCATATGAAAATATATTTGAGTATATTATTTTTCAAAGTGTCAGAAATGGATAACAAAACTGCTATTTTCAATGACTACTTATTTTTGTCCAGCTTTAACATCGGTATCGACATCGGTTATCGGCTACATGAGTTTTAAAATATCCGCATATCGGATATCGGCAAAAATCCCAATATCGTGCATCTCTAGTTCGTACAGTTTGAACTGTAGCTGCTTGCAACCATTGAAAATATGGCAGTCTACGCCTGGCTCAATGCTATGTCTGGAGTAAACGCTCCATCTCTGACCAATCCAAGACAAAACATGGTGGTGGCAGCATCATGTTGTGGGGGATGCTCTTCTTCAGCAGTGATGAAGACGTTGGACTTGAAGCTGAGATGGATGGAGCTACAATAAAATGGTTTAACAAGTTAAAACCTGTTAAATTCAGCAGAAATTTTAACACTTGAGGATCCTAAACATTCGCCCGTTGAGCAATGCAATGCATTAAATCGAAGAATATGTATGTGTTAAAATAACCTTGTCAAGGTCCAGAGTTTGGTTCAGCTAAGATTTGCGACAAAAACTTTATTTTCTCCATCTACTCTGATGATCTAAAGTTTTTTTTTTTTTAAATGGGGAACCATAAGAATCCACTTTCTAGATCTCCAAATCTGTGACTTTTAGAATGATGATGAAAATCAAATTTTTCTTTTTCTCCCTGATTTGAAATAAGCTCTGCTTTATACTAGCTCTATATTTCACATGTTGGTTTGTCACTTAAAATCCCAATAAAATAGTTTATGTAAAGCGACTAAATGTGAAAAGTAACAAATGTTTTTTAAAGCAAATGTTTTGCTGGGGCGGAACACGTGGCGATTCTCTTGTTGACGAGGCCGGATCTCTTTCAGATTGCCGCATCTCTGCAAACACAATCGTCTGCTCCTGCTGCGGTCTGCATGCCTTCAAAGAGCTGGCCTACAAGTACCGCCAGAGTATCCCTCGATCCGAACTGCCAGGTCAGGAGAATTCTCTGCTGCTGTTTCTTTACAATCTTATCCATTTTTTGTTACAATAGCGTTTATTTATCCTCAGCTTCTGTCACGTCTCGTCCTGACTGTTACTGGGGGCGCAACTGTCGCACACAGGTCAAGGCGCATCATGCAGTGTAAGTTCTTTCACATAACGAAGAAAAAAAACTAGAAGTTTCACCTCTTTATGTCTGATCTTTAGATTAGTTAGAACCTGTTTATATATGTTTTACCACTAGAGGGAGACCTTGTATAAACAGCCTTTTCCCCTTGAAGCTCTGTGTGAGATTTTCTTCTTGCCCGTTTGCATAAAAAGCTAATTCTTTCTTTTCTAACTTTAGGAAATTCAACCACATTTGTGAACAGACACGTTTCAAGAGCTGAAGGAGCTGCATGTGTTGGTTCTTCTCCCAAACTCAAATGTATATAAATCATGCACTTGTGAAACACGATCGTAATTCAAATGATATATGCTATCCTCTGTCTGTTGTAGACAGCTGCCTTATGCAATTACCATAATGCACATATTAACAATCAGTGTCCGTTTCCAATGACGACCACGTTCTCCCAGACCTCAGGAGAACAGAATCTATGCACAGCCTAGATAAAGAGCTTGTTGAACAAACTGTTGATCCTTTAAGTTACTGGTTTCTAGTGTTGCTCAGAATAATCAACTTTGTTAAAGTAATCATTGATTTAGGTGGTAAATGTCCTTTTTAACGTCGCCATCATCCTTTGTAACAAAAAAACGTTCATTTGTTTAGGAGCATGCTAGGCAGTCTGCTTCTGTATGGAATACAGCCATGTATGCATGTATGCAGTCTCCCTCTAAAAAGCTAAAAAAAAAAAAATAATGTCATATGGATGTGCTTTTTTTTTTTTAATGAGAGGATTATTCTAGGAAAGAATACCCTCAATTGAATATTTAAGGCTTTCCGTAACTTGCTGCGTTTAAACAGTTCTTTAAAACCTCTTTTATTATTGGACAGGTTCATTTATTTCATTAATTCAGTTCAAGAAGTGAAAGTCATTCATAAATCTATTATTTGGTTAAATATTTAAAGTGTTAATTTGTATAAATACTGTTTGTGACTAATGAAAACACTAAATTTGACAAGTTGACGGTTACTTGAAAAGCTAGAAAAACAAAATAAGAAAATATTGAATGACCATAAAAAGTAATTTAATGCTCCGTTACAATCAACTAAGAGGTCACAGACGGTCCGCATAAAAAAAGTCATTATTGAAAAAAAAGGCGGCAGTATGCTCACATGAATAGTTGAGTGGAAGGAAAAAGTATAGTATGTTGGAACTGAATTACTGAAATGAATGACAATTCAATCAAAGAAAGAACCAGGGGACTCATCAAAAGGCCTTACATGTTAGGAAAGAGGTTTATTTTTATTTTTTTAAGGATTTCATGTTTTTTTAGGGATCATTGTGTTGCTAGTCACTTAGGAGGGTGAGATTAATAGAATATTCATCTCAAACTGATGATGTAATATAGAGCAGAATGGAAATCTTAAAGGTGTTAATCTATAATGAAACGCACAGCTTTCCTCTGGATTTCAGGTAAAACAAAGTAAACTCAAAGCAGCTGCTAGTCTTTTAGCTCCACAATCCTGAAACTGTTAAAGTATGAAGCCTATAGAGATGAGCAGGAGGCTTAGTTATCGGGTCTCTGATCGGCTTATCGAACTTTTATTATCGCTCCTCAGGTACACGATGCTGCTGTTTTATTTTCAAACTACAGATCTGCCATTTGGTGGTTCACAATTTCTTTCAGAATGCAAAGATGGATAAATGCACTAAGATCCTTTTAAGGCTGTCATAGTTTCCCTAGTTTAAAAGGAGTCTTTTTTTTATATCAAAATGAATAATATCTGAGCTTCCTCTTTGACCCTGTCATGGGTCATTAGTGTGATGGACGTAAAGAAGTAGAACATATTTAAAGCTGACTTTAGAAAAGTTTCTGTCAGTTTTCAATGGGAATTATCTTTTACACTAACATAGCTTCCTTTAGTTGTACATAAAAATAGATGCAAATGTTTCGCACTCTTGAGTCTAAAACATAATCAGACACCCTGAGACATGTTGTGCCTATAATCAAAATAAAAAATCTCATTATAATCCTTAAAAGATCAATTTTCTGAACTTTATTGGAAGTAATTTCAGCACAAATTGAGATGATTACATTTTTTTTATAGATGTGACTGTTTTTGCCTTTGTTTTCTTTCTTTAAGTCAAGCATAAATCTAAAAGAAGAAAATGTTTTGTTATAAAAGGCACCTTCTATTATCAGCCCGATTTATGTGTGTTTATATATATAGTTAATTTTTGTTAAATCCATGCTGAGTCTATGGGCATTCTTCAGCAGCTCAGGCCCGATCCATCCCTCCCCTCCACTCAGACCACTTTTAATTTGCTACAGGAGATCTTGCCGCTCTAAGCTAGCAGTAGTATCAAGCGGCTCCAACCAGGAATTGGAATTAGCCGCTTTCCTGGAGCGCTTTGATTTTTGTTTGTGGCCTGGTGGGTTGTTTTTTTACGTTGTATTTCAAGGCAAAGAATTAATCCCCTTTTCTTTAAAATAAGTGTGAACAGAGCTGCTCAGGAGTTAATCAGCAGAATTTATTCTACCTCATCACATCACACAGAAATGAACGATGTTAGAGTCAGATTTAGATAGGAAAAAAAAAAAGAAGTTACACATGCATTTTTCATTAAGTAGATGTAAATCTTTACAAAAGTAACACTTGTATGCAGTGCACTATTTTAAGAATGAATGACGATTATAATCAACTAATAGTTCAATCCTAGATTGTTAGAAATATGCAGAGATTAGGCGTGGGGCTTTGAGGAATGTTTTCTGTTCTGTTGTATTGGCAGTACAACAAAAAAAATTTGAATTGTATGCTGTTTTCATTTAAATATATTAAAATGTGTAAATCTCAAAGTCTGGGTTGGTTTTTTTTATTTTTCCTTCATTATAAAAGGTTCTATTTTACGGTCAACCCTATGATTGTAATTCATTTTTACTGATTCAACCTGATTTAAATTACCTTTTGGTTGTAATCCAATCATTTACTTTGGAGGAGACATTTGAAACATGCAGGGCTGTTTAATGTATTCCTTGTGACTTTATTTTCACTCTATTTTTTTTTTCTTTGCTATATTACACCAACAAACATCTTAGAACTACTGGTCAGAAGTTTGACACTTTCTCTTGTATTGGTTTTCTTTATTTTTGAGAGAAACATCCAAATTAACGTAAAGATAAAGCGAATAAACGGGAAGAGCCATCCTTTGCCTTCATACAGCTTGGCGTTTCCTCAAAATCCATAAGGTAGTCACCTGAGATGGGTTTTCTAAGGAGTCTTGAGAGAAAATCCCAGAGAAGTTATATTTTTGCCCAATTAAGAACATGTTAGCAGCAGCATGTTTATTAAACTTTTATTTATATATAAACAACTCCTTTTTAAGTGCTAGTGTCTGTTCTACATATTGGTCACTATTCTTACTTAATATGGTATTTTAATTTCCCTTTCATAATCCAGAATAAATCTTAGGAGTTTACATAAACTGATACAGTAGTTATATAAAGGGATTGGCTATGTCCTACATAATACTTGTGGATAAAAGCAACTCTATAATCGTTAAATTGATCAGAAAAAAAACACATGGAGACAGAAATTTGCTCCCCTCCACAGCGTAAATCAACAGATAAATTGCAGCAGCTGAAATATAGTAGCTAAAGGTTATAAAGGAATGTTGTTCCTGCTTGTAAAAAGTCCTTGCCTTGGTAGTTTTTTCTTTGCGATTAAGCGACTTGGAAAAAAACAACAAAACTGACCAACAGGAGACTATGGGGTATGATGCATTTGGAAACGTTGAGTTGTTTATGGATATATTTGTGCAGTGCCACTAATGTTCAGAAATCCAGATCTGGTCGGCTCAGTCTCTGCACATTGGCATCTTGTCACATGTGGTTTGTCACAGAACAGGGCTGGCTGTTATGAAGTGAATCTGTCTCAGTAAAAGCCCCTCCTGATACCTGACTCCCCCATGGCCTCCACTCTGGCCTGACCCTCTTGGGGCTGATGCTCCCTGTAGGAGGCCTGTTATTCTCATATTTGGCTCTGACCAGTCCGTTCTGCACAGGCGGGGCAAAGGCCTGCTCCAGGTGTTGAGCTGAGACCAGTGGCTGCCTGTCCTCTTCCTCAGTGATGGCGAACACTGGCACGCTGATGTGCTCATCCTCACCTGGAAAATCCTGCCTTTTTCCAGCCGCCCTGCTCTCAATGTGACATGAAGAGGAGCCAGGGCTGGGGTCTGAGGGGCAGCCTGGGGGGATGCCGCTTCCCTTCAGCGGATCTTTTGTCTCGGAGAGAAGGCCGAAACAAGCGCCTGTGAATCTGGAGCGACGCAGGTTGCTGGTGGAGTTGAGGCGGCGCTGCCTTTGTGCAGGCTGTGTGAGGGGATAGGAAGCGTTGCTGATGGAGGAGTCAGAGATGATACTGGTGTCTGCCTGAGCCTCCAGGTGAGCATCAGAGAACACCTTCCTGCTGTCGCCTCCTCTGCAATCAGGGACCAAACTGGATGGGGCCTGAAATAAGATAAAGGATAGCTGACTTAAAGTATTCAACTGAACTACCAGATTATCAGTCACAGCAAAGGTTCAAGTACTGACGTCCACCAGCTTGGTAAAGGGACTGGTGGAGTTCCAACTGCACCACTTTTTGTGAAGCTGCGGCAGCGGAGGGAGGAAGTCCTGGAAGGTGCGTACACTCCATGCTCTCGGCCTTGAGCAGCTGCCTCCTTTAACAGATCTTCCACCAGTGGGGGAGGTGTTAGCATCTACTGAGGGCCAGTCGCATGAAGGGCTGGGGCCGGTGTCACTGTGTCGTAGAAACCTCTCTCGCTGCTAAGAATGACATGAATCATTAGGAGACTTTATGTGAAAACAAACTATAGGAATTAAAGGTGAATATCAGCAAGAAACTCTTAGTCTATGTATCTGCTTTAATTTTTTAAATGTTTTACTTCCTCTTCCTGAAAAATAAAATATTTATATGTAAAAGTGCTAGGAGAAAATTGTTACTATTTAATTTCAATATTTAAGGTTTGGATCTTCACTTTACATGACTTTAGGTACGAGCCATGAAGTCTTTCACATATGTTCCCATATTGCAACTACGAAGAACTATCTAATTTATTTGATTTTATGCAATGAATCAACACAAAATAAAGAACCTTTGTGGGATGGAAGTTTTTACTTTAACATCTTGTTAAGGTAAAAACTTCCTCTCTGTCAGCCCTGGGGTCTTTGTAGGGTGGGTCTAAGGGCCCCTCACGCCTGCTATTGAGCATATCTTCTTGCTAAAGGAAGCCTTACAGCACAACCACACTCATGCTACAAGTGTTTGGTCACGGATAAAAAATTATCTTAATTCTAAGCTTCAGCTTTCATAGGTTTTGCTTTTTAATGAATGTACTGCAGGTCTGTAGAATGCTCCCTTGTTTAGATTGGTGTGGGGTCCCCCCCCCCTTTTCTTCCTTGATTTTTATAGGTGGAAGCAGACTTCTGTTATTCTGTATTTTCCTCTCTTTTATTCCTTCACTCCCCTTAATTCTTCTCCCCGCTCCCTTTCCACCTCCATGTCAATTGCATATGATACCCTCCAAATGCCACTTCTAAGAATGTTTCATACACAATTAACAAGTGGAACCTTATGGTAACGGCCATGATAATTTACAAGTAAATGCACATCTGTGGGGCTATTATTCAGCAGTGGGACATCAATTCTCAGTCCTATATTGAAAAACAGGACAGATATAAAAAATTAAAATCTGAAATGTATGGGATAAATTTTTTGGGGGGCTCAATTTAAACTGTAACCCAAAAATAAAACGTGTGTCCAAAAAAGTGTGACCAATTAACAGAAATAGCATTTGGTACTAGATTTAGCTAAGTTAAATGTAGTCACAGCAGAAATATAACTGTTCACTGATGTTTTCTCAGACCGTCACAGAGCAAAAGGCATCATCAAGACCAAGAGATCCACAGCTTACAGGAAAACCTCTTACGAACCATTAGTCATGCAATCCAAGATTAAAAAAGCCAAAATAGGATTAAAAAATGACCTTATTTTGTCAACAGATTTAGTCAGACCTGGACTGAGGACTAGAGCACCTTCTCTCAATAAAACCATCCCCATATTAAAACAGGGAGGTGGCAGCATCATGCTATGGGGAGGCTTTTCTTCAACCGAGGAAGAGAAGCTGATCAGAGTTAATGGAAGGATAAATGGAGCTAAAGCAGAATTAGCTTTAAAACTTCCAGCTGGGATGGAGATTTCCATTAAAATATCTTAAATGTGTGGTTTAAACATCATTGGTTATAAAGAAGTTACACTAATTATTTTGCTTCATTGTAAATTGCTGTTATTATTCATTGGGTTTTTGGTTATTGAAAGTAAAGGATAGCTGTTATTCTCTCCCTCTGACTCTCAGAATTAAGCCAATGTGGCTTTTTTTCCACATTTAGAAATCTTTATCTGCTTGGATTTATGAAAGCAGAAGAAAAGATAAGTGCACAGAGGTTAAAAGACAAGAGTGGCCCAAAGATTGTAAACAAACAAATTTGAAATATGGTTGAACACACAACATAAATAGCTTTCGTTTCAGAGGTGGCTTTATTCTTAAGCACTCAACTGCAGCAACAAGGTCACTGACCTGCACTGGGCCGATAGACTGTCAGCAAATCAAGCACGCATCTTTGGTTGAGTAACAACCAGGGATGATAGTGTTTAGGGTGCAAAAGAACCATTGCTACATCTTGGTTTTTTTTAGAACACCATCAGTCATTTGGGAGAGGACCTTAAATCTTGATTAAATATTGTCAGATAAAATGGTCCATATATTAGGACCAGTCTTCCGGTCTGCTGATCAAATGGTTCTGGACATCCCTAGGTTCTGGTATAAACAGTGAGACGATCGTTCCTTAGTGGTTACCGCACCTAAACTGTGAAACAACCTGCCCCTCGGTCTGCGGGTTCTCACTGATCTGCACCTTTTTAAGTCCAGATTAATTTGTTTAAACTGGATTTTAATACTTCGGACACATTGTTTTATGCTTATGAATTAATTTATTTTTTTTGCTGTGTTTTTATCTTTCTGTAAAGCACTTTGTTCTTCCTGTTGTTGTTGTAAAGTGCTATATAAATAAACTTTGATTTGATTTTGATTTGAGTCTTTTATCTCTACAAGGTCTGTTGGTCCTCAGAAGGTTAGTAAATATGTCAAAATCCACTGACTTCCATTCGTTTCTATGATCTGACCCAGACCCATAACCACTACCAATTCAAACCTCAGCCCTAAATATAGCCTCCGACCCTAGAAGAAAACTTTTCATGGGCAGGCTCGGACTGGTATCTGTGATAGCAGGCAATTGCCCGGTGGGCCTTTAATCATTCCGACCCCAACTTACTCTCTGTCTGAGGCTCCTACCTGTGACAGTAAATAACTCAAGGGGCTCAAGAAGTAATACAATGATAAATACCTCAATGATGCATGCAGTATTTAATAGCCCTTCCTTGTCATGCACATCCTTGTGATGGTTGGCATATGGCGTAATTTTCTATTTCTTCAAACTGTAAAATCTTGCAACAAACTAAAGTATAATAAAACTAGAATGCTTTCTTTAATCCAAACTGTAATGTTCATCTTATATTTGGTGAATTTATGTTCTAATATTTTGCAAAAATATGTTGCGGTGCATGATGGGGTTTTGCATCTAAAGGTGAACGTTTCCTGTCTTACATGCGTTGTTGCCAGGTTGGGATGTTTCCCAAGGCAGTTTAGGATGGCCGTCTATGGGTAAAAAATGTTTTTCTTGTTTTAGATTTATGGACCGAGAGATCAATATACTTTGGTTCAAATTGGGCGAGATTTGGTGTAGATGGAAAGATGCCAGGGACTGGTTATTGGTCTCCACAAAGTAGCTAGACATTCCGAGGAAGTGGTCCTTTTCACCCACGAGGCAACAAATACATTCCAACACACTTTTTTAATCTTGCTGCATATGCAGTGAGCATCATGTGTTAAATCCTCTTCCATTGAGTTTCAGTCTTTTTCAACCCGTTCTGTGTCCTAACCCTGACAGTAGCTCTAAACCTAACCAGTGCTAGTGCACCCCAACTTTAACCTAAACTCAATTCAAACTTCAATCCTAAACCTAACTGCTAACTCAGTAACTCAGGAACAGTAGTGTTCCTTACATTGCACAGGCTTTAGGCACATATGGATCAGGGTGTCCTCCCAGCATAGATTTTAATTTAAAAACAAACAAAAAAATAAAAACACACACCAACTGTAGAGAAAATGTTAGATAAAAATACAGTAGAGCTTGTATGACTGGGATCTGTAAATGTTTTTCTAATATAATTCCAATACAATTTAAGTTTTACATGCATGCAGTATTTACTTACTGAACAGGGAGGAAACAAAATCTTTAAAACAAAGATAAAAATAGACTTTCCTTAAATATCGGGAAAAAAAATTACTTTACTATACTTTAACTGACTATAACCCACGAACCAGATCATTACTAACAGACCTTTCAGTGGACACCCAAACATCTAATCCCCTTTCAATCTGTGAACTGACCATCCCCTCTCTACCAGGTCACTCTGACTTAAAACACTCTTCAGTGAAGAAGATGGTCATTGAGTCAAATGTTGTTTGAAATAAAGCAAGCACAGCAATATAAAAAGCCATTTAAGCTGTTCATTTATGTCATATATGTGGAAATGTGGCCACAGTTTATTCAGGCAGTGAGAGAGTGAGATAAACTTTCAGCACCAGGATACGGTACTAAGGCTGTTTCATCCTTCAGATAGGATAAGTGTCAAGGTTTTCTATTGGGAACACACATGGCAACAGCCCATATTGCTAATAAAAAGATCCAAAGATAATTTAAAAGAGAAGTGATCATGAGGGAAACATTTTGAACATAGCAACTGCTCAGATTTAAACACATCATTACAACCAAGAGGCTACAAGGCCTCCTTACAATCACCTTATTCTCTCCAAATATTTACTACCAGTTTAAAGACAGGACCTCTGTTTAGCTACTGAGAAATATTAGATATTTTTTAAAGCTATGTCAGTTTTTCCACAAATGTACAGTTTTAGTCATTGTGATTCTGGCGAGGAACATTTTCTGTTGCACAAAGCTGAATGTTGAGAGCATGAGAGCACTGATAAAGTCTCCATTTTTGTCATCTACTTTGACTTGATTACCTGAATGGAAATGAGATCAAATGAAAGCATTATGACGAATGCCCTACTGTTTTATATCACTGTCCATGCACTTTTCTTAAAATCTCTCATAATGAAAATCGAGGACTTAATCAAATTTAAAACTCCTTCTGTATTGTACAAAGCAAGTCGGTTTCTATTCTTAGCCTGCAAACCCTGATATAACTAAATTAGGTAGTATGTGTATCAAACACACTGAAAGCATGGAATCTAAATCAGGAACTATTAAAGCGAATAATATTTCAATGGCTATATGTATTAGAGGGAATGTTGAGTTTTTAACACCACAAGACCTGGGCTGATCACTGGTGGATAGATGCTGAGGATCGGCCTGTTTTCCAGTGTAGTCCTGTTTCTCTGACCGTGACTGGCTGGATGTGCTCTCTTCATCCTCTGACATGGGAATTGGCTCAGAGCTCGTCTGCCTGGCTGTGTGTTTCCTGGACGGGGCTGCCTTCTATAGTTGCTGTTTGTATCTCTGCTTCTGTCTCCTTGAACCCCAGTCGGCATCGGCAGATGGCCGCTCACACTGAGCCTGGTTCTGCTGGAGGTTTCTTCCTGTTCAAAGGGAGTTTTTCCTCTCCACTGTCGCTACAAGCATGCTTAGTGTGAGGGATTGTATTTGAGTCAATGAGTTGATGCAATCAACTGGTTTTCCTTAGATAGAAAACTTTGAATCAATTTGACTGTAAGATCTGGTTTAACTGTAAAGTGCCTTGAGATGACTGGTGTTGTGAATTGGCGCTATATAAATACACTGAATTGAATTGGATAGCAATTAACCAACCATTTAAAAACAAAATACTTAACACTTTCTGCAAACATAAAGAAACCTTCACTTCCCCTTCAGCCAAACCATGTAGGTTCTTACAGATAGTGATAAATGATGGAGGGACTGTGGTAAAATGGGGGATCACACAGATTATCTTCAGACATAACATTCTGGGAAGAATCGTAAAAAAGTGCTGAAGGGAATATTAAACATCAATTTGCTCTGAAAAAAATCCCGTAATCCTCGTGATCTATGCGTTTCCTGAGTACTTTACTGGTGACTAAAGGACTCTGATTATCTTTCTGTCTAGCATAGCAGAATATGTAACAAAGTCAATGGGATGAAGCCCAATTTAGAATGCACTGATCACTGCATGCAACAAAAATAAATAAAATAAAAAAATTTAATTATTAATTGCTCAACTAAAAATAAAAGCTCAGAACTTTAAAAGCCTATTGTGTTTTTTTTTTAAGAAAATATAAAATCAAAGAGAAAGGGAAAAACAGAATATGTGAAAATGAAATGAATCAAGAAATAATCTAGACTGACCAATTTAAAATCTAACAGCATAAAGAGATGTGAAAACTATGATAGACATATCAAGATAAAAGAAAGTGTTTTAAATTGCTAAAAAAGGTGGACCCATTTTTGCTTCCTGCTTTTTTAAATAAACAAGGATGTAGTGGAATGTGTAGAATTCATATATAGATCATCTTATAATGTTCTGAGATTTAAAAACCCAGGAATCTAAAGAGGCTGCAGCATCTATTTGTGATACATTACAGTGTATGGTTTTCCTGGAGGAACTAGAATCCAGTGAACAGATGAAAAGGTGCAAAGGTCACTTTATCATTTTTTGATCAGTCAGCTGCTGTTGATCAGAACAGGAAGGAGGTTTTAGGAGTTTTCGGCCATCAGAGAGAAATAATCCTTCCCACGGAGTCTGAAGCAGCTAGCTTTGTCTAGACTCGAATTAACCAGGGCTTTAATTAAAATGTTCTTTTCCTCAGTAAAGCCCTGCAAACACAATGGCAACTTTTACATTTGACACGAGGCTAGAGATCAGCTACTGCAGTCAATCAGAGACTGAGCTGGAGAAAATTCGGGGCGGGCGGTGCACAGATTAATAGAATCTGTTGAACATTCTGACGATGGTTAGACTGTGAGTAACAAACTACCGAGAGCAGAAAATGTCAGCTTTGCCGCAGGAGTACTCAAAATGATCCAGTTTGGATCAACATGTAAACTAAATGTAGATGAACTGATCGTTTTGCAGCATTGCTTCTGCTGAATGATGTACCACCGTTTACCGAACATTATTTACATGGTTGCTTGTATTGAGGACACACACAGACAGACCACACACTGTGTGTCAAAGCGTGCAGCGGCACAACACAGCAACATACACACACGCTTTGAGCTGGGAATCTGGCTCTGGAGATAATACTCCATTAGCCGAGGCTGCAGAAAAGCCTGCCAGTCCTTCAAAAAGCTGCCAGAGTTGTTTTATGCCAAAAGAGCACAATAGAAAGGGGGGGAGCTCCTCCTCTCTTTTAATTATTCCCATTTCCCATTCATAACCTCATAGTTTACATACTGTACCTTGTGTTCAGCAGTACAGTCATAGCAGGTTTTTCTTAGCAATATGGGGAAACTCAAAAAGGTGAATGCTCTGACGCCTCTGATGTTCAGAAGTTCTTGGATCTTCTCTACATACTGGTAAGAAACAGGGACTGAGTGTGTCCTGCTGGGATTATGTAAACTTTTTCTCAGCCTAACAGCATTAAAGATACAATAAGATAGAAAACCTTTGAACCAGTGTGCAAACTGAGGCAGCACCGTGAGGAATTCACAGCAATGCCATCTCAGGTTAACACGCCCCTTTTTAGCAGATAGTGTTCAGCACTATTCTCATCATTTCACATTGAAGAACCAATGCTAACGGGCTGGTGTCACAAGAGGCAAAGGGATCAAGGGTTAAAAAAATATGAGCATCCTTCTTACACTGGGATCAAATCTGTTTTTTGCTCTTGACTAAAACACATAAAGTTCCTTGTCATTACCTAGGATGCTTTCTATTGGCCTACAGTACACCGAGAACCTTTTAAAGAGCATGCCATCTTCTAACTACAGTGACTTGCAAATCTATTCAAATCCTCTCAATTCATTTACATCACATCAGATTAGAACCCTATAATAAAAATATCAAAAGTGCAAATACCATTAGAGGTGAGTCCACCTGAAAAATGGAGAAAAAACAAACACTGCATGTTGCCCTTAACATAACATTCCAACTATGAAACATGGTGCTGGCAGTATCATGCTGTGTCTCTCATTCAGCAAGGGTTAAAAAACAGATACTTATAGTAGTGTAATAAATATGCAAGCAGTTACATTTAAAACATGCATGTAAACTACAACCTGTGGAGGTTGCTTTAACTATTTCAGAGTCAGCATTTTAATGTTTGTTTCACACAGCATATTTATTGTAGGATGTTTGCTAATATGGGTGAACACATTTAGTAAACACACTATGAAAAGTTTTTCAAGATCACTAACTGTTTTTCTTTTGCTGAGGTTGAAAGAACTAGCTGGGGGAGCAAATATGGTGGAACACAAGGAAACCAACAAGCAGCTGACACTGGGGGACTTGACTCTGGAGAATTTTTTCTGAATTTTCAGTTTTTTGTTTGTTAATACTTTGGAAGAATAGATGGATGATATTTTTTCTACGCCTTTGTCCTTTGCCTGACTGCTTGGTCCCTGACATTTTTAAATTTTTACCCATGTGGAATCAGAACCATGAGGCCCCCCAAAAGGTCACACCCATAAGTGCATGCTTTCTCTCTGCATCTGTGGTTTGCTTTCCTGAAAATTAGCCAATCACAGGTGGTATTACTTTCTCCAGAAAGAGATATACATGTGACTAGAAGAGAAGTTACAGGAGCATAAAAAGCAAACCACAAATGCAGCGAAGGAGCATATACTTATGTATCTAACATTTTAAATAAAACATCTTTTATGAGTATTCATTGCATATTTGCAATTTTGGCAGAAATATGACTCCATAGGAAAAGCTGACCATAACATGCTAAATTACTTCTAATGAAAATGGACCTTTAAGCTGAATACTGAATTATGCTATATTTGGATATATTTTTTTATTAATTAAAAAATGTTTAAGTCATGCATATTTATTTTCTCACGTGTGAATTGAATTGTTTTGCCAAGTACCCTGGTTATTGCTATTACAGGTGAAGTTGCATCAGAGAGGTTCTTACAGCCTGAGGATAAAAAGGTAGCCGGTTTGGGCTGCCAGCTGATGATGCAATGAAAACTTCATCTGCACCAAGATCAAGTTCAGTCAAACCGCTGCAGGAAAGATCGGCTTCTACATTCTGGGATCCATCACCGTCAGCAGTGACTACAGAAAAACAAAAAGAAAAAAAAACATTAGACACCATAGCAGGGGCTTAAATGCCACAAGAACCTCAACCTGAGTCAGTTCTGCCTGCGTTATGGTTCCTCCGCCTGTGATTTGACCATGAAACAAAGCTAATTTTCATAAACAAAGTTCACTAAACTGTATTCTAAGTTATGAACATTATTACATTAAACTGGCAAGTCTTATATTTCTATAAAAAGTCATGATTTTAACAATAGCTATAATAGTAGAAGAGGAACGGCGTTGGCTGGAGTCCCGCTTTGGAAGCTGTGCTAACAGAAAAATGGGCAACTAATCGACACATTTAATGATAAAATAATAAAAGTTATGAGTTTATTTTGGAAAAAAAAAAGCAGTTTTATTTTTGTGCATGTTTTATCTGCAAAAAAAACAAGAACAAAAGATATATTTTGAGTAGAAATATTAAGTTATACTAAATATAGCATCTGTTGTATTAGCCTTGCTTAAAATTGTTCTAGCTAGAGGAATAGAAATGCCTCGTACATGTCTTTTATTTTTCACTTTCTTTTAACGTTTTATATCTGTGACATTTTCAGATTTGTTTCCTATTATAGAAAGTGGTTTATGGAACTCGTATTCATCACAGGAAACATGGAGTCGTGGATTAACACTTAAATCTTTTCTAATTTTCCTTTACAAACATTTACATATAAATCAATAAATGGTTAAGTGACTTTTTCTCTTTAGAAGCATTTTGATGCTTAACCTGTGGCACAGCAGGTATTTTATTCATTGTTTTTAAACAGCTGGTTACTATTCACTGGAGATTTTGCAGCTACATTCATTTCAAGTATCAGGACATATTGGCGGGTGTTCAGGTGGAGTTCATGTGAAGTTAAGTAAGTTAGGTGAAAAAAATCAACCAGAGAATGAGGACATATTTGAAGCAGATAATCTATTCCCACACGGCTATTCTGGAACATCTTCTGATCCACCCTGACACATTTTTCAAAGAATTACATCCCCACTTCTGAATGAGTGCACTGATCTTCGGCTTTCTGCTTAAAGAAATTACCAAATGAAGGATTTATATGCCTGATGGTATTATTATCATTCCTTAAAATATTCCAGCTATCACATGGTGGTGTGGATAAATGGAGCATGTTGACCTAGTGGTTAGACCAGTGCGGTTGCAAGTACCCGGTTCAATCCCCACAGCCGCCACTCTGGGTTCCAGAGCAAAACCCTTAACCCCACGCTGCTCCCTGGGAGCCACACAATGGCAGCCCACTGCTCCCCAAGGGATGGGTTAAATGCACAGAATGAATTTCCCAATTATTGGAAAATAAAGGGATTTTCATAAACCTAAATGGACACCCACGATAGCCTGCTTTTAAAGGTCCCTCACCTTGCTGGAAAATTAAATGAACCAAACGGTGTGTAGTTGCTCAGGCATTAAGGATTCCATGTGGGAACACATGCATCTGTATTAGTGTGTCACCTCCTGACCTGCATGTGGCTGGCTGCTGTCGTCCGTCTCCATAGGCGTCTGTAGAACAGCCTGATTCTCAGCCATCAGCTGAAGCTCACTGAACTCTGCAGCTGTGCTCTGGGCTCCCTCTGCAATCTAAAACACAATGCACACAGATTATTAGACATTTTTCATTTTAATTCCAAAAGCCACTTCAGTAATGTGTGTTTTTTTTTTGTTTGTTTTTTTGTTCCTTCACAAAAAAAATAAAATAATGGGTAGTCTGTGCAATAAATAACCTGGCAATTTTAACCTGACCTGCCCTTACCAGTGGCTGTCCAGTTGGAAAGATGAAAAATAAGATTTATTTTTATTTTGAACATGCCATACATTACAGCTAGCAGGAAACACTCATCATAACACTCTTTGGTGTGGAAGAAATAAAGAAAGAGAGTGCTAAATCTTTTGACAGTCTTGTTGGTCAATACTATAACGAATCACCTTTGCTGGTCGCTGTTTATTTTGCTCCTTTGCCTTTAATTCAAAAAAGGATGCATCAACGGAACATCAATTCATAGCCATCTTTGAGACAGTTTTTGGATTTAAGGAAAGGAGAAATTATACAATAAAGGAAATTTATTTAATTTCAAAACATAACAGTAAGTCTTAGAGCACAGTTGCTTTATTTTATCCTTCTGAGTTTTCAGCATCTAATCATTTATGGATTGACTCCACATTTATATCTGATGTTTACACAAGCGAATGCCAGAAGTGGTAATAACTATACTGGGCTAAAAAAGATGCTAAAGACAGCTTGACAAAAGCAGCAATGATTAACGGTTCTGCAGTGCAACATATTCATTGGCAAAATAAAGTAGTAGCAGCTTGCAAAAACCAAATTAAACATGGGCAACGTCACATTACGAGTGGTTTCCTTAAGTCAAAGACCACTTTAAATGACTTCAGCAGTCTCAAAAATAATTCATGCTCTTTATTGTAAACATATTTAGTCGTCCGTAGAGCACCCCTCAGCTGTTTTGACATTGCAGGAAACTAATTCACAGCCAGACACCAGCTACTTGTCGTATTGTTGAAGAATTACACCCTACTACATATAGATACACACTGCCAGATTATTTCTATTCTTCAACAACCTATTGGAATTCATCACAGATGGCTGCTTATTATCTCACCGGGATTGATTAGTTAAAAGTTTCAATTAATGCAACTCTTACACTTCTATCAATCAAAAGCTCTGTTATGCATTAACTTGCTGATAAAATGTCACAGATTATTCAAGCAGAAACTACTTTGTTATGAGTTTCTATCTCATAACAAACTATCTGTTATTGTTTTGGTCTGGGTCTCTCCTCCTTCAGTGTCTTAAGGATCTTCTTAAGGGCGGATTATACATCAAATGTCGCTTGCGTCTGGTCGTGAACCAGTTTTTCTGGTATGCTTCTGCAACGTCAGTCTGGAATTTCTAGGGAAACCTAGCAGTTTCCCGCCAAAGCGCTAGGGGGAACCTATTCGAGAACTTCTCCGGCTGTGCCAGCGGGAGTGTTTATTTTCCAAAACAACACGTCTGAGGCATCGTACAAGTGGTTGTACTTCCGAACCTCCTTGATTAAACTTTCGTCGTGGTTATCCATTGTTGTTATTACTCCTGGGTGTGGCACGCCCCGGCACCGAATCGAGAAGGATGAGTGCACAGACAGCCGGAAAGGCATACCAAGGACCAATCACAGCTGTTTTTATTCTGCGCACTTCCGTTTGAGGTCTGCACGGGTTTGTGACCGTCCAATGCATAGTCAGGATTTTTTTGAGGTGTGCGACGACGGTTGCAGAACCTCTGCGCGGGGGGCATGGTTGCACACAGAGACAGATTTGACAGTAGCAGAGGCTATGCGTCAGAAGTATAAATTTGCCTTTAGTCTTGGTTTAGTTTAATTTGACTCCAGCAGTCCACGCCCGCCAGCCTGACAGCGATTCCATGCTGGGCTCTAAATTCAGTGAGTTGACTCGTCTGATCTGAGATCACAGTTGACTGTTCTGTAGTAGAGATTGTAAATAAACAGCTTTTCTATGGTCCTCAGAATGATTTACCATCATTTGGAATTAACCTCGTCATCTTGCATGGCTAAGCTTAATTATTTTAGATAATTTGTCAGAATTTAGATTATGATCCGGAAGACTATAGAGGGATGTGATACAGGAATGTGATATCATCCACTCAATAAAGAGTTGCTACATTTACATTTCACAATTAATTACTTTCTATTTACTTACTATTCTCTAACGTCAGACACATTGTCAATGGATAACTCAGTCAATGTCTTTAAATCAGTCTGAGATAGCCAGACTAATGTTACGCTACATTCTATACTATACGATACATCAGCCTATATATGGATTTTCTTGGTTAGTACATCCACTGGCTGTGAAACGACTGTGGAACGATGTGGAACGACTTCCCAACGCCAGCAACTGCTTGTTTTTTCAGCTAGATGCTACACATGTAGGGATTTTTTACTGCCCGTCTCCGTGGGAGTGGGCAGTACCAGCATGACTGACGCCGGCTTCACTTTTTCAGGCAATCAACATTCCAGTGAATAAATAGAGATCATTGGGAGAGCTCTCCTTGCAAAGCATCATGGTAGCTATCCGACAGCGGCGACTCATATAAAAGGCACCGCGCAGTGGAGGAGAAGTTACGTGACCAACGGAGCAAAAAGCAGTGATCATCTGTCCGAATGGTCAGTTAACTGAGTTTACTATAACGTCCCCGCTGTATGTGGTCACAATAAGCTTATACTGTATGAGCTATGAGAACAGCACATTTTAAACAGGGCGTTTACGAGGAGAAATGGGCTTGTGCATGCTCTCGCACGTACACTTTTTTAGAATTGGAGAGGGCGGATCTTTTGAAAAATTCACTAAAATCCACCACAACACCTTTAAGTTTCTTACAAATCCCGCTCTTTTCTGATTTGATAGTCTCTAGTGGGCTTTATTTTATCAGTTTTATTTTTCTATGTAAGCAGACAGGAAATTGGATTAGAGAGTGGGGGAAGACGTGAAGCAAAGGTCAACAGGCCAGGACTCAAACCTGCGAGGGCTGCGTTAGAGGACCAAAGCCTCTGCACATGGGTCGCACACTTAACCCCTGCACCACAACCGCACCCCATAATTGGGTTCTTTTCAAGTTGTGTTTTAACAATCAAATTCTCTTCACTTTAAGCCCACATTGATAAATAGAAATGCTGTTGCCAACATCCATCAGACCAATAGTAATGCATTTTGGCTCCTTACTCTAAAGGAAAGCCCTTCTTTTTAAATTGTAAAACACAATTTGAAAAGAATGCAATTCATAAAATTTAATCTGAAGAAGAGAAAATCAAAAAACAACTATGAAAAAATATAAAATACCGGTATATACAGTTATCAGAAAAAAATATAAAATCTGCAAAGTTGCTATCAAATCCTTTTTTAAATAAAAAGTTCTACAAAGCTCAGTTTCTGAATAGTATTTTTGTTTCAAAAGCTGTTCTTTGCAACAATAATGAAACAAAATTCACTCCATAAAATTATAATATTTAACTTTAAATACGGTAGAACATAAATAGAATACATGTTTTATGTATTTATTTTATATATTTTAATTGTTTTGTTGTATTCTCCTTTGATCTTAAAAGTTGAAAAGCGAAACAAATCTAAGTATAATTGTCACTTAAAGAAAACAGGTAAAGATAATAAGGCTTTAAAGCTGGCCTTACAAATATTACCAAACAGCCTTTGTTGTAAATCTGTGACCTGGAGTGAACCCGAGTTGGTTCAGCTCAGTGGGGAGTGCATGAGTTAGATCTACAGAAAGCAGCAGTGTAGGCAGTAGTGAAATATATTAAAAAAAATGTTCAGTGATCCCAGATAAACCTCCGTTGTAGAGGAATGTCTGACCAGTGAATAAGACAGCAGAGACAAGGGTGCAGGTAGGGGATAAGTCTCATGTGGTGAAAACAAACAGGGATGATCTAGGAAAATTGGATATATTCAAACCAGCCAACATATGATCCCCTTTATAAACACAGACTTTAGATAAACAAGACTTGAAAATAGTACAGGAAAAAATTAGCTTATAAGGAGAAATAGACTTGTCAATAGCAAGTAATCTCAAAATCTTTTCAAATGCCCTGCCAGACTCATAGGCATCCCACAAATTCTTTCACTACACGCACTGCTATGGAAAAGGAAAACAACAGGCGCCTTGACGTCAGAGATTTAAACAAGACAAGGTCCGCCTCTCACTCCCTATGGAGTCTCTTATAATCAGCACTTAATATGGAGCCCCTGACTCCAATTTTATGGATTTAACAGTCTGGTTATGTTTTCCACGCAGTTCAACTAAGGAAAAGTAACTGTTTATTTTATTCTTTGTGTATCTTCAGCCCAAATTTTGTAAAAGGATCATATTTAGCATAAAGGACATTGTGAGGGATAAAAAAAAAAGAAGAAAAAACATTTATCTTTGTGTTAAACTGAAGTTGTTTCTATACCTCAGAGTTGCCGGAGGTGGAGGAACTGGCTCTTTTTGGACACAGTTTGGGTCTGGAAAAGATGAATAACCAAATCAGTTCAAGTGCTAATTAAAGACAGATCTGTGAGAAAGCATTTTAATGAAGCTGCTGCTGGAAGAAAAACCACTCCGATGTTCACAATTTGACCAGAAATGTAAAAATGGATACAGTCCCATCTAGCTGTGCTGAAATTAGAGCTTTTTCTGGCACTGTAATCACCTTCATTAGCTTTCAGTATTATAACTCCCACATACCTGTGGCTATCTCACTCAGTAGCTGGTCTGTTGTGGCATTGAACAATGAAGCAAGATGCACCGCACTCTTGGTTTCGCACAAATGTTCTAGCGGTTCTCCAGCCCCTCTTACATTGGCTGTTACTGAGCTGTTATTAAATTTTTCCTGGTAGAATTTTAGACTTTATATGCGATAACAAGTTCTAACCAGACTATATTTTTATAAACGGAGGAGAGTCAGCATTATTCTAACATTGGCTCATTTTGACAGTTACAACCACAGGTTTTAATGTGTTTATTGGGATTTTGTGTGACAGACCGACACTTAGTGGTGCATAATTGGAAAATGGGAGAAAAATGATACATGGTTTTTAAAATTATTTTCATGTGAAAATCTAAAAGGCCTGCATGCACATCATTACTATGTACAACATTTATTTACAACTATTCTCAGCAGGAAAGAATAGGCCTTGTAAAATTAGATGGACTCCAGTTTACAACAGTTTCGATTGATTGATTTATTGATCTTACAGTGGAGAAATTTACTCATTACATTGGCTCAATAGTCAAAAAGCAGTGTAAATGTCTTTCATTAAAAGCTCAACTCTTCTACACTCTGGTGCAGAGGGTGAAAGGTGTTGTCCATGATGGATGTAAGCTTGGACAGCACCCTCCTCTCAGCCACTTCCTCGACTGAGTCCAGAGTCATAGAAGGTTTTAAGCAGGGACCTGCTCACTCCTAAGGACCTCAGCCTCCTCAGGAGCTGGGGGCAGCTCTGAACCTTCTTATACAAGCTATCAGTGTTATGAGACCAGTCCAGATTATCATTGAGGTGAACTCCCAGGTATATGAAACTCTCCACAGTTTCTATGTCCTGACGGTCTTCTGGAGTCTATCACCATCCACTAAGTCTTACTGGTGTTAAGACACAGGTGGACCCTCTCACACCAGATCGATACTACAGCTCGTTCTCCTCAGAAACAGCCTACAATGGCCTAGTCATCTGAGAACTTCTGAAGATGGCAGCTGTCCATGTTGGAGGTGAAGTCTGAGGTGTAGAGGGTGAAGATAAACGGAGACAGAACGGTGCCCTGGGGGGCCCCAGCACTGCAGACTGCCACCTCTCACTGACAGCCCAGTTTTCTCCATTGGATCTGGGCTTGAATAGATCATTCCTATACAGGAAAATGGATACATTTCCTTTCAAACCATCCTAATCCTGCTGTAAGATAAACTACTTCCACTTATGTGACTTAATTATGGCAAGAATTGCACCCAAGAATGACTCCATGTTCCTTCTCTGCACTTGTTTTTATGCACCTGTAAATTCTTTCCTACTTGCGTGCGACCCATTTCTGCGCTCTCATTTCAACTTTTGTCACTTTGAGGGTGAAACCAAGCAGAGAAAGCAAACGACCTGTGATTGGCTACTTTTCAGGAAATCCCACCTCTTGAGGCAATTGGCCGTTCCCAATCAGTGGCTACTCCCTCCCCCTACTCACTATACTTTGAAGCATTGTCAAAGCTGAGCTGAGTCCTTCTCTTTGAGCTAAAGGGTATAACTATATCCTCTGCTTTAGAGATAGCCTTTCCTCTAGGGGTGGAACAGTTCACAAAATCCACGGTTCGGTTTGGTTCACGGTTTTGTGGTCACGGTTTTCGGTTTGGTTCGGTATATGTTTATTGTTACCCCGAAATCCCATAAAAATTTATCAAAAAAAAGAAACAAAAATTAATGAATTATTTTTAATGATCTGCGGAAACCATGGATCATTTCTGCATGTTTTGCTGCTTTGAATTTAATCATCTGGCGCATGCCCTCTACGATCTCCGAGGAACTCAGAGCGGAGCGGACGGGGGCCACAGTGGAGACTGTAGGCTTTGCTTTGTGCAGGCGGTCTGGAGCG